ATACCACCGAGCGCAGCTCTGAGTCCTTGCCTTGGTCCTTCTTCTGCTTCGTGCGCCGGTTCTGGAACCAGACCTTCACCTGCACGCCGGGGCGCGGGGATAGTGGGAGAGAGGGGCAGAGGGAGAGGGGCGTCAGGGGGAGCGGGCACCTAGGGCACGAGAGCTCCGGGTGCCCTCCCCAACTCCAGCCAGAGAGATCGGACCCGGGAGCTGTGGGATGAGTGGTGGGGAGCCAGGTCCACCAAGAAGGGGACACAGCTCCGCTAGGCTGCACTTCCAGGTCATGGAAGCAGGCCTAGGCAGGCCCAGGTTACAAATAAAAAATGTCCATGACCCTAACTGGAAGAAAGATGAGAAGGGATTTCAGTGGGCACAGCCAAACCTGTGGATCAGTGCTGCATAAAGGCCCTCACTTCCAGGAGGTGGAAGGCCTAAGGGATGCTGAGTGGCAAGTGGTAAGTAGGAAGTGGGATGGGTGGGGTGGAGTGTTACCCTGCCTTTCAGGACCCAGGCCCCTGGCCCAAACCGCACGAATTTAGTCCCAACAGCACCACTCTTGTTGAAGGCTATAAGAGGCTGTTTCTTGCTTGCTGGTGTCAGACTTGACCATCAACTAGCAGCAAGCAGGGAAGATGGCAATAGAAGGTTAATTTGTGCAAGATGGACTTCATAGGCCAAGCTTTTCCCACCTCCTCACTACCAGCTGGATGGGAGGGTCTGAGTGATATCCTTAATTTACTCTGCTGCTCTCCATCATGAACTTTGGAGTCATGGGAGGAAGACAGTAGACTGGGATGGACTAAATGCTCTCGATCAACCTCCTCTCTTAGCTACTTTTCTCACTCTGCCCTTCTTCAGGCCTAGCTGGTGGCCCAGAATGGAATTAGGCAGCTCTATGGAAAGGTTATCCTGTCTACATTTTGTAAACTAAGAAGGGTGGTAGCAGAGAGAATAGGGAAAAGCTACCATGCCATCCCAAACTCAAAATGAACATCCAATATGTTTTGTCCTTGGTTCTCAGCTTTCTGCCCAGATCCCATACGTAAAATGCCCCCCATCCACTTTGGAGCTGGGCACAGGGAAATGGACTGGTCCTCAGAAAGGAATATGCCTTACCTAGGCCAAACTGGTGCTATGCCCTGGGCAGGCCCTAAATGACCTCCACAATGCAAAGCTCTCAGGCCCTAAAGTGCCCCTGGGCCCAGAGTCCACAAGGCAGCATCATATGGATTTCAGGTAAAGGAGAAGATCTAAAGCACAGTTGTCAGTGCTGGCTCCCAAGGCCCAAAATCTGCATCCCATCCCATAACTCACACATCACTGGCACTGAAGGCAGAGCCTCCTAGATGCTCAGGACTGGGAATGGGGCTGGGTCTAGCTCAAGGCCATGGAGGGCAGCCTGGTCTGCAAAGGCAGATCTGTGGAATATGCACCTCTCTAATCCCAAGTTGTCACCCACACCGCTGAACAGGCGGCTTTGGCCCTAGCCCCATTTTTGCTGAATGGGCCTGGGTGCTGTTTAAGGCTGGGGTCTCCAGAGGGGGTGATGCCTGGAAATCTGGCCAAAATGGGGTGGCCAAAACAGGGACAAACATCAGTTCCTCCAAAAGCAGAGGCAAGCAAGACTTGGGGTCCAAAAAGAAATCCAAAAGGACAGGATTTGGGGTCTCATGGGCCCTGGAAGATTCAGGGGCGAAGGGGGAAAGGATGGCTTAGGAAGGGGAGAAAGCATTAGGCCTTTCTTCACCATCCTCCCTATCTCCTCTACCTCCTCTGGGAGGCTCTGTCCAGAGCCAAGCTAGGTGATGTGAAAGAGCTGGCTGGGGGTGATGGGAAAGGAGGCTAGTGCCCAGCTGTGTGGGCCGACGGGTACCTGGGTCTCGGAGAGGTTGAGCTGCCGCGCAAGCTCCGTCCTCTCGCGGCCCACCACGTACTGGCAGCGCTGGAACTCCATCTCCAGCCTGTAGAGCTGCTCCGCAGTGAAGGACGTGCGCGTCCTCTTGGGCCGATCCAGGTCCAGGCCCTTGGGCAGGATGATCTCTCGGATGGACCCCTTGGCATCTGGGGAAGGGGAGATGTCAGGCACCATCACCCTCCTGTCTCCCACCGCCTCCCCTGGCAGGAGTTGGCTTATGGAACATAGTCACTAGCAGCCTGGAGTCCGGAGGTGGGTGGGTGGGGGTGCAGCTACAGCTGGGGAGCAAGGAAGCTGTGTGTTTGGTGGTTGAGGGTACTAACTCCACATATCTGATGGGAGGGGAAATCGGGCTTGGCCTTTGTAGAGCCTTTCGGACAAGGGAGGAAAAATACCAATTTCAAATCGTCTAACGTTCCTTTTGCTTGGGGGCCTCGGCTGCGTAGACTGGGTCCCTTGTAACCCGAGGGTGCCTGCACTTACCAACCCAGGACCTGCCTGCCCCAGCTCTGGAGCGTGTTGACCAGACCGCTCTCCGGCGGTCCCCACCCCCACCCCGGGGTCTCCTCTCCCGAGCCCAGGCGGCGAAAGGAGGAGGGACGGAGTCGGAGCCGGCTGGGCCTGGCG